TGGCAATGCACTAGAAGATGATAGAAAAAAACATGTGCCGAATTGATTAAAACATACATCAAGTACGGAAGCCGGGATATGATGATAATATTATATGTCATTATAACAATGATTATTAATGATTGTATTAAATATAATTAAAATGGAGTGTGAGGACCTGGAAAGGATAATATCAGCAGCGTCAATAGCGACACTATAGAAGGCTGCGCCGGGGGGGGGGGGATAATGAAGCCTTGGAAGACCCTAAGACGCAATAAATTCGAGAGGGATCTGTGGAATAGCTACATCCTTCTTTACTGCTCCAGGCCTAGAAACTACCGACCATAGAAGCATCAAATAGACTGAAAGCTCATGTCTGTTACTGTTGCGCTCTGGGGGATGGGGGTGGTGGTCTTCCTTTCTGTCACAATTCATTTGCTGCCCTCTAGGATAATATTTCTTAGTTAAGTGCTATTTTTAAATTTAATTCTGTTTTTTTTTTTTTTTTGCTGTTTGTTTGCTGACGAAGGCTTCCTGCCGACACGTTCGTTGTTTTGTTGCGTTCCTTTTTCAAGTTTAACCTTACTTTGTTTTACTTATTATCTATTGAGTTGTTTATTACTGGAGGCGCCACAGTACATAGCAATTTAAATAAAATTCAGATCAGGGTGGCGGTGGGGTGGCGAATGCCCCACCCTGCCTACACAAATGACGTCGCTAACACGGGAAAGCGAGGTAAAGATATTGTGTGACGTCACGAACTTTCATTGTATCTTATCATGTAACTAAAGCCTGAAATTGACAGTGATGTTGAACTTTCTGTTGTGATGGATGCATTTTAAATTAAATTGACTTAAGATGTCACTTTTGTAAAAGTAGTAGTTTAAAAGTGAAGTGTGTTTTAGTGATTTAAGTTTAATTAGTTGTTAATATTTAAAATTATTTTTTTTTAAATTTTGAAATCGGTATGCACTTGCGGGTGCGGGTCTGAGACATGTGACAGATTGTGATCAGGGTGGGGGAAAATATTTTTAAAATTGCGTAACGTACTTTATGGACAACCCATAAGCACCTGTCAGCCACACGCATAGAATATTATAGAATGCAGATTGATATTTTGCTAGGGAACTGAAAATCCGCGAATATACTGGTCAGATATGTCATTTCAATTTTTTTTTCCATGGGCATGGGCATGGGGAGAGGTAGGGAACGAAATTTGGCCAGCTTGTTGGGTTGTTTATTAGCCTACAGGTAGCGCCTCAGCACATTAGCCAGTTAAATAAAAATTGTCCCGATATGATTTATTTTGTCTATTGTTAATTTTAAATGATCGTATAGTTTTTCATTTTTCTTAACTTTTTTTTTGTTGTTGTTGCTAAGTTTGATTTTAAGCTGTCCTAGATTCTAGTTACAGATACCTAGTTATTAAAAAATCCAACAAGTTTATGGAAAGGTGCCAGGTGGGGGATTGGGGGGGGGGGACACTTGTACTGGTGTTCAAGAATATCACGAAACAGCAATCCGAGACATTTATTCGTTGCGCATCTTAATTTAGCATTAAGATATATCTATAATGTATGTATGTGATTACAAAAATAAGCAAAATTGGTAAAGTTCGAGTAGTTTACCTTCATTAATGTTGCGTATGAATATAACTCATGTCTTAAATTAATTTAATTAATGAAATCTGGTAAAATAGAAAATAAACCAATATTATATTTAAATTTAATTTAAATCATTTAATCATCAGAATATATGTTTTTTTTTACGAAATAGTTATTTTAAATGTTAGGCTTTAGTGTTATAGTACTAGTTGTTGTATGGCATGGAGTGATTATAACCGTGTCACACATTTTGTAAACAACATGGCTTCTTTTCCAAAAGACTTAATTAACAATACAAAAATATTTGTGTGGAGAATGCATTTTATTCCTCCCAACGTATACTCTTTTCTTGACAAAAAAGTTGTATGTCGAAGTCCTGAAATGAAAGTAAGGTCTTCTACTACTTTTTCTTAACTTTAATTTTAATACAATTAAAAATTAAGTTTAGTATTTAGAATTTAGTATTATTAACTATCCGATCTTACTGTCTACAGACTACTGACTACTGAATTAGGCCTAAGTTACTAATAAGTTAAAATGATATGTTGATGGGTATGGGCTTTCTTCACCATGAAAGTTTTAAATTACAATTACAATATTGATGTCGGCCTACTTCTTTTATATTAGCTCTAGAGTGCAGCAACAAGTTCCTTCTTTTTTAAAACTTAAAACATTTATCATTTGTTTAATTATTGTTTACAATTAGAGTTCAATTTCTAAGTAAGTCAAATGGGTAAATAGTGAAAATGCCACCTTGGTTGACACCTCACTTGAAGCTGAAAAGTAGTGCAAAACACATGTTTTTAAAAAGGAAGACGAGGTCGGAAAAATGTTTTAATTTTTCAAAAATGAAAGGAAATAAATAAATTTAATAGCATTTTTTTGAAGATCTATATCTATGCCTAACCCGAACCCTAAATCACTAAATCTATCCCTATGCCTAACCCGAACCCTAAATCACTAAATCGATCCCTATGCCAAACCCGAACCCTAAATCACTAAATCTATCCCTATGCCTAACCCGAACCCTAAATCACTAAATCGATCCCTATGCCAAACCCGAACCCTAAATCACTAAATCGATCCCTATGCCTAACCCGAACCCTAACCCTAAATCGATCCCTAAAACTAGCCCTAAAGCCACAAGTAAAACAGTGTTGCAAGAAAACTCAAAAAATGAAAAAAAAAATCAATAAAAGTTGGCGAAAAATAATAATAACATAAATTAATAATGAAAACCCAACTTACAGTTTCATGAAATACACTTTTACACACTTCATTTCAGATTGCACAAATAATATCCAGATAATGAATGGAGCACAAGAACCGGCATGCCCGGGCAAAATGTAGGCAATATGGCATCACAAATAGAATATGCAAATTAGCCAACCAATCATAATTTGGAATTATAATTAATCAACCAATTAAAATTTTAATACAAAACAGGTCATCAGCGTACTAATTCTAAGACATAACAAAATAATTCTCTAAAAATAAACAAAGGGAAGTAACTCTACCAAAAATACGTCGTGGCATTTTCAATGATGAATAGCCGTCAAATGCTTAAAAAATACACCTGATTTAGAAACAGCCTCAATAGTGTTACCATCTAAATTATTAGGCTACCAACAACAGTTTTTTTTTTTTTTAGATTTTTAAAAATGCATAAAAGGGCATATAATATATAATATTTAGTTTGTTGGCATAATATCAATTATTAATGTCTTAAAAAATAATTATTACATAGTTTTTAATATTTTAGTCTTTGGAAAAATTTGACAAAATTATTGTACCAATAGTGGGACTTTCTCCTAGAATATTAATTTAAAAAAAATAATAGAATTAATGAATGTCAACCAATATTGTGTTTTGAATTTTTTTGTCTGGGACTACTCCTTGAACGGTGGGGTGAGGTAACGCAACACCTTCCCCGGAGAGGAAGCAAAGCCGTTCTGACCCATGTCCACACTCCACACAACTCCCAGGAACGGTGGGAGAAAGTTAAGCTCCAGACTACTCCCGGAGTGGAGGTAAAGCCGTGCCACTTTTAGGAATGTACGGCTCCCCGGACGGTGGGGTGAGGTAACGCAACACCATCCCCGGAGAGGAAGCAAAACCGTTCCAAACCCAACGTCCAGACCGCATGACTCAATGGGCACGGGGGGTGGTGACGCAAAGCTGTCCCCTGGTGAGAGGAAGCAAACTGCCCAGAACACCATTTTACTCAAGACCGTGTTGCATGGCCGGAGTCCTCAGGGACTACTAGGCCATGCTTCATGGCCGAGGCCCTAAGAGATAGACTCTCGACCTCCTTAGAGTATTGAGCTTTATAAGTCTGGGACACATAATTTATTTGTTTCATGTTTATTCAATTTTCAGCAATGAATCATCATATGTGAGTGTGGGAGAATTAAAATGAAGCTGCATAACAGGATTCCATTAATTAAAAAAGATTTTGAAGAAGATAATTTCCTAAATGATGAAGTTCCCACAGTAGAATAATCTTTCAACATGAGCTCAGAAGTTTCTATCAGCACTGCTTCAGAATTTAATAATTTATCTAAAGTTGCCAACAAATCCCTCCAGAACATACCAGTTGAATGCACTGATAAAAAGCCACCAGTTCCAAAAATCCAAGAATCAAAACATGTTGTTCATCGTCGTAGCCATTCTAATACTCCATCTTCTGGTGTTCCAGTAACATATCAACACTTAAACTCCTATCAGCAGCCAAAAAGCAATGATAATCAAGTCTTCAATTATCGGGAAAGTGTAAGCAACAATGATATTCTTTCTCAAGATCTAATTAAAGATGCTGATGCTTTTAATGGCATGAAAAATTACAGGTCAGATGATAGTCTAATTAACCGGCTAGTGATTGTTTCAAGTAAAGTTAGAAATATTTCTTCAATTAGACATGCTCTACAATATGGTGTATTACTGCTTCAATACAGCTGTGATTCTCAAACACTTGATGATATTTTAATTTTAATTAGTCAGTCTGTTAATGGAAGAAAACTTCAAAGTGTAGGATTTATTTTTAGCTGTTCAGGATCCTCTCTCCTGCTAGTGACGAAAGAAGAAAAATTTCTTCACAAAGATGGAGTTACTGACAAAATGGTGCAAGAATTTTTCATGCGTTTGGTCCAAACCCATTTTGTGAGCACAGATACATCATGTCGCATAGATGTATTTGGTTGGTACAGTTTACAGTATTCTGACACCTGCCTTCCAGTTATTGCAGAACTGCAAAACATTACAGGTGTGAGTGTTGGAATTTGGCGAGATCTTGCTGGAAATAATTTATACCAGAAAAGAGGGGAAGATGTAGCACCTAAAGGTAGTGCAGGAGAGCTGTACTTTCGACTTGAGAAGCTTCGAAATTGGAGTGGACGTCATCAACAGAGTCTAGCTGGCTTTGAAAAAATTAGAACAGTTGGAAAAGGAGCGTATGGGGCAGCTGTTTTATACAAGAAGAAAGATGATGAATCTTTAGTTATTTTAAAAGAAATTAACATGCATGACCTAAATGCATCTGAAAGACAGTTAGCACTTAATGAGGTAAGTGTACTAGCCATGTTAGACCACCCCAATATTATCAGCTATTATGATAGCTTTGAGGAAGATGGTGTACTAATGATTGAAATGGAATATGCAGACAATGGAACACTTGCTCAGTACCTTGCCAAACAGGAGCGCCCCTTAGTAGAACAATGCATACTAGGAATGTTCCAACAAATGGTTGCAGCCATTAGACATATCCATTTACATAACATTTTGCACAGAGATCTCAAAACAGAAAATATTTTTCTAACCAAGGAAGGTGTTATAAAAATTGGAGACTTTGGAATATCAAAGATGATGGGATCAACTAATATTGGCGCTCAAACAGTTCTCGGAACGCCTTACTATATCAGTCCAGAAATGTGTGAAGGAAAGCAATACAGCTTCAAATCAGATATATGGGCGCTTGGCTGTATCTTATATGAAATGGCTTGCTTGCAAAAAACGTTTGAAGGGTCCAATTTGCCTGCAGTGGTTAACAAAATAATGAAAGGTCAGTTTGCACCACTGAAAGGAAATTTTAGTGAAGAGTTTAAAGAAATAGTAACAGTTATGTTGAAGAAAAATCCAGAAGAAAGACCAGAGGCCCAGTACATAATGTATAACCTTCTACCCAAACTGATTAATAAAAATTCCAAGATAAAATCTGACCAGGATGACACTTCTGGAGAAAATCAATCAAACAAGGGAAAATTTAGATCGGTTCTGTATTATTTAGAATGCTCATCAACAATTCTCACCTGCATCAATGATTTACCCCCTCGCATGAAGATAAAAGTTATGGCCGTTGGGTCCGATCACGTTATTGTGACGACAACTGAGAGACAGGTCTTCTCTTGGGGCTTTGGAGGTAATGGACAACTAGGCCATGGTGACACAAAAGACAGGCACACGCCAACCCCAGTGGAAGGCCTGAAGGGAAAGTCTATCACGATGTGCTGTTGTGGATTAGGATTCAGTGTATTTGGAAGTGATAACGGCTTAGTTCTGACATGTGGTGATGGCAGGAGTGGTTGCCTGGGACACGGCGATTGGTGCAGCACAACACGACCTAGACTCATTGAGTCTCTGCTAAGTGTGGATGTAATGGCCATGGCCAGCGGCCTGAGTCATGTAGTGGTAATAGGAAGAGCGGGGCAGGTTTTGTCATGGGGGGATGGCTCGTATGGTCAGTTGGGGCTTGGTTCAGAGGAGAACTACTGCATTCCAGCCTTGGTTCATATCACAGATTCAGTGATTTTTAACAATGTTCAGTGTGGTGTTGATGGGACAATGCTCATATCTGATGTTGGAGGCGTTTATGCTTGTGGCAACAATGAAAACAACAAACTTGGCCTTAACAACAGGCAGGGTTTTCTCAAAGCAATGAAAAACATCTTCACTAAAACAGAAGTTGATGGTAGCAATACTCCTACACCGGTCAGGGCTCTGGCTCGCCATCGGGTCCTTGCAGTTTCTATGGGTGTTAACCACACGTCGGTTATTGTGGAACCTGGCCATGTGATAACATTTGGTAGAAACTCTGAGGGGCAGTTGGGTACCTCAAACACCAAGTCCTCAAATGCTCCAGTTGAAGTTAAAGCTCTAGAAGGCAAAGTAGTTAACCGCATACAATGTGGAGAACACTACACCATAGCCAGTACTAAAGACCATGAGTTGTACTACTGGGGACTGAGATATAACATCCCTCCAGCTGGGAGATGCGAGGATACCACCAGCCAATCAAGTTGTAATGAAAGTAGTTCATGTTTACTGTCTTCATTACAGAAGGATGACATGAGAGTGGAGAGTGTAACTCCTTTATTGAATAGTTCCAATGGAAGTCAAATGGAGGACAAGGATGAGGGTGACAAAAAACAAATAAGTGGAAGTGGCAGCAAAGAAACGAAAGAATGTAGCCAAACCATTACCCAGAATGAAGTTGATATGCAAGGCTTTAGACCTATCAGTAGCATTCCAAGAAGATCACTCAGTGCTAGTAGTCAGGAAAACTCAAAAGATAGAGAAAAAGATAAGGAAATGCTCAAAGATGGAAGAGTAATTGTTTATGAGCCAACGGAAATTATTAAACTTAAACAAGGTAATGAAAAAATGCTACTTGGAAACATATACTGTCATGGTGAAAATTTGTTTATTCAAGTTGAAACAACAGCACCTCCGCCAAGGCGGAGAACATTCAAGAAGCGAATACTAAGGAGAAAGTCTGGTCATTCTTTGGCAGGAGCATCCACTGATTCTTTGTCTCATATGTCAAGTACAGCAAGACATAACAAGATGGATGAAAATTCATGCTCTTCTGAAACTTCAGAGATGGATACACACAGTGATATACCAGCATGGTTAAAAGAAGAACTGGCACAAAGTGCTGTAGATATTAATGATGGTAACGAAGCAGATGACACAAGTGCCCAATCGGAAGAAGATTGGAGAACAAGCGGCATCGATTCTTCAATGTCCAGCATTCAAATAAATAGAGCTCTGACCCCAGTTATTGGGGAAAAAAACTTTTCTCCGAGATCACATCAACCTAATTATATCAGCCCTCGTGATCAAAACTACAAAGCTCAAATACGCAATCGGACTTACTCTGCAAATAGTTCTGAAAGTAACCCAGAGCAACAGATTACTGAACTTCTTACTGATAGCAGCTCTGGGGAGGCATCACAGATCAAACAAAATACACAAGAACTAAATTCTAAATTGCCTCCAAAGACAAAAAATACTTCTAAACAAGCCAGATTGGCTGATGCTCAAGTCAAACAGAAGGAGACATCAAAAGGAAGAGCTAAAGTCCAACCTATTGTGTTCAGGCAGAGAACAGGCACCCGTGGATTTATATCAGATGTAACTGTTAAACGCAGAGAAGAGTCTTTGCTGTTTGAACTAGACAGAGTTAAACAGGAAAAAAGACAAGCAGATGCCAGAGTTCGCATGCTTGAAAGAGAAAGGGAAAGCCAACAGCAGTTGCTTAAACAAGAAGCTGAGAAGTTGGCAAAGGAAAGAGAAAAACTGCTGCAGACTGAAGTAGAGAAACTCCGCCTGGAGATCGAAGCTCAGAATTCTTTGCTCCAAGATCATAAGAGAGTTGTTGGCGAGCTGCAGCAACAGTTAAACGTCGTCATGACAGAGCAGCTGAGTTTGGGTTGTGGAACACCAAGAGATCAAGTAGGTTCCTCGAACCAACTCACTTCAAGGACCCCTAGGAGTTGTGAAGAGGATGAAACATCTTCAAATCAAACAACCCCAAGACCTAAGAACTATGAATTTGTATCCAGGAAAAAAATTAGCAAGATTTGTTCCATGCAATAAGTTAATTTAAATAAATATTTAGTGTGCATACGTTTCAAATGTAAGTAGTAAATAGGAATATATTCAAGTTATAAGTAATATAAGGCAGTGCTTTTCACAGAGAGTTATGCAAACCTTATGGGAATTTGTGTTAGTGCCATGGGGTATGTCTGAAATTAAACAACTAAATATTGAGTATATTCCAGCAGTCATATAGTTTACTGTCCATACTTATTTTTATTCATCCAATAAGCTCATACAAAACTTTTGTAATTATAATTAGTTCGATTTATGAATACTAGTTTTTTAGACTAAGATAATATGTGTATTTTACATAGTGCACATTATTTAATCCATTTAAAAAATAAGAATCTGTCAAGTTCTGTTATTGTTGGGATTATGTGAAGACCTGAACAAAGATGTGACCAAAAAACAAACGTGTCTGCATGGAGCCTTCAGCTGTCTTCAGGGAACGAACATCAAGTAGCACAAATATAAAAATTGAAATGTAAAACTGTCTCTAATCATCATCTAGGTCAGTGGTTCTTAACCTGGGTTCGATCGAACGCCTGGGGTTCGGTGAGTCAGTCTCAGGGGTTCGGCCGAGGTCCAAAAAAAATATTAAAAAAAATCATATTTTATTTTGCCTATTAAGAAGGGTTCGGTGAATGGGCATATTAAACTGGTGGGGTTCGGTACCTCCAAAAAGGTTAAGAACCACTGATCTAGGAGAAGTTTTATTCTCTGCAAGTAACATTTGGTGGTTAGAATTATCCAATTAATGTATTTATACACTAACAAAAGTGGCTCTTTTGTAAAATAATGGCTTGAATACATTTCATTCAGAGTTCAGCAATATAAATAGCAACCTCTGCCAAGTGAATTTTCTAACACAATCTTTTGAACTAACAGGTACGTCTAATGTTTTTATGTACCGGTAGTTTTTATGTGTAAAATACACATTATTTTTTAACAGCTAATTCTGATCACATCATAGAACCTGGATATTATGATGAAAAATTGTCAGACAAAACAGTTAATTATCAACCGTCACAGATTTAACAGTTAACCATTTCTGCCAAGCTTGTTGCGTCATTTTCACTGTGTTTCAATTTTCTTATCATCACATGTACATAATTTATTTATCGTTTTCAGCTGGTCTTGATACTTTAAAACAGTGGTTCTCAACCTACGCAATGCAGCGACCCTTTAATACAGTTCCACATGTTGTGGCGACCCCAAAACCACAAAATTATTTTCGTTGATACTTCATAATTGTAGGGTATATGTGTTTTCCTGTGGTCTTTGGCGACCCCTGTGAAAGGGTCGTTCAACCCCCAAAGGGGTCACAACCCACAGGTTGAGAATCGCTGCTTTAAAAGGTCTGGATCACCAGAATATTGGGTTGACAAGTTTTTCATTTTTTAAAATAATTTTTTGATTAAGATTTTTTTTTTTTTTTTTTTTAATTATATTAAAATTAATTTAAAAGTCATTTTTATGAAAAATTTAAACCCCCAAAGGGGTCACAACCCACAGGTTGAGAATCGCTGCTTTAAAAGGTCTGGATCACCAGAATATTGGGTTGACAAGTTTTTCATTTTTTAAAATAATTTTTTGATTAAGATTATTTTTTTTTTTTTTTTAAATATATTAAAATTAATTTAAAAGTCATTTTTATGAAAAATTTCCAATGCTATATCAACTAAATGTGCAGGTTAAATACATTATAGCTATAAGGTATGCTTACCATATTTTCAGCTGGGATCAGTGTCTATTAAACTGTGTGGAGGGACAGAATGAATTAAAACAGGATTCAACTGTAACTTAAATCAGGCCCAGGTTTAGATTTTTTTTAAAATCTACTTATAAAGACACACTGCGGAAAAAGAAATTCCTTTTTATAGTTGTGTCCTAAATTAGGTACTGGTACCCAGTGTTTCAAGAAGTATAGCTAAATAATTTCAGTGTTCAAGCCTACAAATATCTTAATACTTAATATGCATGAAAACTTCAAGTATTAATATATTTTAAATAGAAAATCTGAAGCTTTAACTTAATTCAAACTGATTTGTTGAATTGTGATAAAGTCATTTTCAATTAAAAAGGCATGCATTCATTTAAAGGAATTGCAGATATAGAGGCTATGATTAGTTCTTTGGTCTTCAATAGTTAGTGGTCTTCTGTGCGTTTAGTTTATCTACACGGTATTAGAATGTATGTTATGTTTCTTTGCCAAAAAGCTACTTATGAGTTTTTCTATTTGCTGTTGAATATAAAATGTGATAGTAGAGCAAAGTATGGTCCATTACCAATAAATAACTGTGTCAGAAGACCACTCAAGGGAACTGACCCATGATATGATGGGTGCTTGAGAGGGATATTTTATTGTCTAGTGTTTCATAAGGATATACTTATTAATCAGTTAACAAAGAAATAATATGTATGTTTATCTTATTGTGCTGAAATCAGCAGTTATTTCAGTACCTAAGCCTAGTGCGGGCATGCCAAAGCAATTACATGTTAAAGTTAAAGTTTTGAATGTGATAATGAAAATGCATACAGTTGCGAGCTAAAAACATTTAAGATACTAAGTATACTGTTGGTTGTGCAGTATAAACGTTACACAAAAAAAAAGCATTGAATATTTTTCTGGACCCAAAATGTCATCGGATCAGGTACAGACAAAGCGACTTGTTTCAGTATTTTTAAAAAGTTTATGTTCTTATATCTTATTAGCATATTTTTTTATAGTCATATATGATTTTTTAAAACATTTTCACATGCAATAACTTTATTGCATATTCTCATTTATGTAGGTAGTGTTTTGTTTTTTTTAAAAACAGGGTAAAGTTTCAACATTCGAAAAAGTACATAAGGTTATTTGAGAAATGTTTTGCCTTGTCATCTTATATAGCAATTTTCTTCTTGTTTATTGCACTGAGGCATTTTTTTAAAAGGTCCTTTTCTTTAATAATTCCAAAATGTGATATAGGTTTGAAAATGCTTGTAGATATATTTAAATTAACTGTAAATAATTTGTAAATAATGTGTAAATTATTTGTAAATAAATCATCTGTTGTTAAATTAATATAATTGTAAATAATTTGTAAATAAATGAAATGTTAATTAAAGGTTATAATGGGATGGAGGATTTCTAAAATGAAAATAAATAAATAATGATTGTGCACAATCATGCAAAAAGATGTTTGAATGACATATTTAAGTAATGACAGTGATTGGTTTGTCACGTATAGGTTAGAGTTCATCTGCCATTTTCCCTAAACATTAGAAGGTAGTGCTATAATGAAAAGTGAAAAGACCTTAAATTGTGGGGGGGGAGGGGGGATATTATATCCTATCCCATGTTGAGCCTGGTTATGCCTCTTGTGATGGCTAATCATGTGAAACTACATGCACCACTTAATACACTGCAAACAATTGTAACACTTAGTTGACTTAGGCTACTTATCATTAATCCCATAGAATCTTTTTATTTAATCAGTCTGCTCTTTAGGATTATTTGGTTATTTTGAAGACATGTTTTTTGTACTTTCATAATACAAATAATTATCATGCAAGTGAAGACAAGATACATTCATTTATTAATTTGCATGTTGTTTTTTTTTAACAGTGCAATAGACATTCACACAATTAAAAGCTAAAGTTGTCATGTTCCTAGTCTACTGGATCTTCTCTTGATTTGTATATCTGTCTGAGTTTGTGTGTTCGTTTTGGGTGGGTTTTTGTTTTGTTGTTCTTTCTTTTTTTTACCTTATAGCCATTAAAGATTTTTTTAAACTTAAAAAATCAAGTAGGCCTACCATGTATTCTTATTTGTGACGTTAAAAAATATTGTACAGCCTCTAACTGACATTGAAAAGTAGTGTACAGCCTCTAACTGACGTTAAAAAGTATTGTACAGCCTCTAACTGACATTAAAAAGTATTGTACAGCCTCTAACTGACGTTAAAAAGTATTGTACAGCCTCTAACTGACATTAAAAAGTATTGTACAGCCTCTAACTGACATTAAAAAGTATTGTACAGCCTTAACTGACATTAAAAAGTATTGTACAGCCTCTAACTGACATTAAAAAGTATTGTACAGCCTCTAACTGACATTAAAAAGTATTGTACAGCCTCTAACTGACGTTAAAAAGTATTGTACAGCCTCTAACTGACGTTAAAAAGTATTGTACAGCCTCTAACTGACATTAAAAAGTATTGTACAGCCTCTAACTGACGTTAAAAAGTATTGTACAGCCTCTAACTGACGTTAAAAAGTATTGTACAGCCTCTAACTGACGTTAAAAAGTATTGTACAGCCTCTAACTGACGTTAAAAAGTATTGTACAGCCTCTAACTGACGTTAAAAAGTATTGTACAGCCTCTAACTGACGTTAAAAAGTATTGTACAGCCTCTAACGGACATTAAAAAGTATTGTACAGCCTCTAACGGACATTAAAAAGTATTGTACAGCCTCTAACTGACATTAAAAAGTATTGTACAGCCTCTAACTGACGTTAAAAAGTATTGTACAGCCTCTAACGGACATTAAAAAGTATTGTACAGCCTCTAACGGACATTAAAAAGTATTGTACAGCCTCTAACT